CCCCCCCCCACAGCAAGGCATACGCATCCATCCATGCTCCTTAGCCACCATCCCACTGCAGGAGTGCACTTTGGTAAAGCTCTGGTGTCAGGGCGTACATGGGTGGATAATGGCACTGCCCTACCATCGTGACAGTGTTCAGGTCTTGCAATTGGCTGCGGAGGATCAATACCGTCACATGGAGGTCACATCCCCTTTACCTGGATGCCCAGCTCCATTAAAACATTTAATGGAGGATTGAGGGGACCCTTGGAGTAGGGAGGCAGCAAAGAAGAATGAAGTTGGTAAGCATAACTTGCTGGGGGGTGGGGGTGGGGTGTTATGAACCTGAACCCGTCATTGCCCCGAATGGCCAATGTGACAGTATCTCACACAGAGGGGAAATAAAACTACTTTATTGTCAGGGTTTCCAGCAAAGCATTAGTTGTTTACTTAACAACTTAGCTTTTTTGTCTGCGTCTAGTTTATTATACACTGTAATCTATTTCTGGCTATGAACTGGTAGCAATTATTTGAATGTTGTACTACACTACCTCCATTGTATGAAGCAAAATCTAATCCACACACAAATAATATCACTGCAGCAGAATAAGTGAATTTAGGAAAGACGTTTTCAGTGGTTTTGCAGACAATAGGGCACACTACTCTAAACTTTCTAAGGCAAAATAAGCAATCTACTAATAAAATAAGAAAAAAAACTGACATGGAACATAAACTAAATGCAGTATCATGCAAAGAAAAAAAAAAATATTACTAGGGACCATTTGCTAACTCAACCTACCGCATATCTTATTTCAGAAAAACAATAACCTGGTGCATAAACAATACTTAGCAGAAACATGTGCCGAGAGAAATATGTGGGCTGGAATTGCTGACCTCCTGATAATAATAATTGCCTAGATGTCCTTGGCTTCAACACTTTGTGAGTCACTGGCCTGAAACAAGCATGTGCAAGCGAAAACAGATCTACAAACTTGTTCCAGAATAGCAATTTAGAACTACTGAAGGCATTGATCAGCATGACAGCCAGACAACAAGCATTTTCAGAAAGAAAGGTCTCCCCGGTGGGGGCAGCAAAAGACCCAACAGAGACTATAAGACCTGATACACATGGCTGGAAACAGCCATATCGAACGTATTACGCTACCCAGTAGTCCCATTGTTTACATGCATAACCCGGACTTACACATTGCCCCAAACTTAGACCCTCTGTGTTCAGTGCAGTGTGCAAGTCCTGCAACAATGGCATTACTTTATATACCCCTACAGCCACGGTTTCAGCTAGCCTGTCCTTGATTTGTACAGGATGGCTGCGCACAGCAATGCAGAAGAACACCTATGACTCCCAGGCAGGGAAATACTTGATCTGTACACTGTGTGGCCATTTCTGACCGTGTGCATGAGACCTAATTCTTACCCTATATTATCTGTAGTTTGCACTTAAACTCATCCTGAGTCACTATAACACCAACTTCCTACTTCCAGAGGTCAGCTCTGACCTCATCAGATATGATATTGGTAGATGTATTTGAGGTAACAGGGGTATTTGGTGACAGCTAAGGTTACCCTGCTTTCTATATAAGAGATCTGTCTGCATGCTGGAAAGTGGTTTACATATACACAGAATAGCGATAGCTGAAAAAGTGGACCATCAAGTCTGCTATTTGAACATTTTGGTGTCTTTTTTTTTTTAACCTTTTTGTCTACATGTGTAGATTTACTTACTGTTGGCTGACTCGCTACCTCGGCTGGAAGTCTGTTCCAAGCATCGAATACTCTTTCGGTAAAATAATACTTCTTGCATTTTATCAGCTGTCCCATAACAAAGGAAAAGGGAACTTACATTTCTATTTAAAGAATGCAATGGGGCATTTATCAGCTGACAAGGAACTGCATGTGTAAAGTGTTTCAAAAAGCCAAACCCTTTTTTTTTGGAGATTTTCTTATTTCTTGTCTATGGGAAAGGGTTTGAAAATAATTCTCACTAGTAGGACACAAACAGCAAGAAATAAAACAAGATGGGTGTTTAACAATTACCTACTTTTTCAAAAAGTGACTTTGGATAGAGTTTGAGTCTTTTTAAAAACTTTCAATAATGTTGGCTGAAAAGTTATGTCTATATACAAAATACAGTTTAGACCTAAATTCAGAAATCAAAAGTGTTAAAACAAGCATCAGTCATAACAGTAAGAATTTAATGTCCTTGCCTGGCATATGGCAGCTTCGTTTTCATCCAGATTCTCCTTCAGATGGTGCAGTTCCAGTTCCCGGTCTTTTAGCTTCTCCTCCAGCTCTCTAATGAGAATTTCCTCATTAATTGGTGACCGGTCACAAGAGCCACTATCTGAAGACTGGTTGCCCCCTCTGCTCAATGACCCTGTGCTCTTACTAGAGGATGAGCGGCCGCTATCAGAGTTCGATGGACGAGTTCGTGCCCTGGAGGTTCGCTCAGAAAACACATTCATGTTCGTGTGATTATCCAGGTTGATGTGACTCATAGACATACTGACTGGCTCCATTTGGTGGCTGCAGTTCGTGCTGTAGGTGGGAAGACTGGAAAGAGAATTCCTGCCAGAGTCAGACATGTTTCCAGAGACAGAACTGTTCCTGCAGCTGAACGAGCTGTGCTTCTCGCTTGTCCCTGCTGAGGTCCCATTGAAAAGATGGTTTAGGCTTCCTTGACTGTCAGATAAGTTGGGTGCCCCATTTCTCTGGACAAGGAACTGCAGGGAGGAGTTGCGCTTTTTTGGCACCACTGGCTTGAAAGCTGTAGGTTTTATTAATGTCTTCTCAATGTTCTGTAAATGAGAAAACAGAAGTTATGGAAACAGAAAGCAGATACCTTGTTTGCACAGTTCAAAATTTACCTTTACCTTAGGACACAGGATGAAGCTTGTTGGTCATTATATTGTCATTTTTCTAAGATTACAAACTCATGAAGCACACTGCTTTATTCATATGAAATCCTTATTTTTTAAACACAGGATGCATCAATGATAATTCACAAAGCATGCTGGGCTTTGTAGTAGGAAAGCCTAGCACTGCCTGCATGCATGCATGGAAGCAACCTGTGTTTAATTAAATGAGTAGTTACACTCAACTCTCTTAGGACACAGGATGGAGAGGTGCATGCTCTGTTAGTCATTCAGCAAGGTGTGTAATCTGATCACCCTGCTATTTAGATCTATTTTACAACAGCAGCTGCTATCTGAGCTTCCAGAAAGCTGGTGTTCTCACACAGAGCTCCAACTGCAAGTAGCAAACATGACATATTGCATAGAAATATTTACTATTTACATAGTTAAAAAAAAGAAAAAGAAACATTATTTAAAATGTTTTGTTACACACAAAACTTTTCTGAAGCCCTAAACATAGTAAATGGTAACACAAGGAGAAAAGTAAATAAAACACACACAGAACTGCTGAGTTTGCCAGCTGTGTATATGTATTTGATAGGGACATGATACTGTAAGCTCCTTTGGACAGGACAGATGTGAGTGGCTGAACATTCTCTGTAATGTTCGGTGTAGCTTCCTGCATGCACTGCTTCTTGTGCAGGAATGGCAGCCACAGTCAACAATTTCTATCCTATGTGTACTTGAATGGATGCACCAAAAGGTAAAAGTGTGAAAGGGCATAAGGACCACACTGACATAAAGGAGCATGAAAAGGAAAAAAAAGATTTTATGAAAGGAAACCAATAATATATGGAAGTTGCCATTTTGACCTTCTCTTTGATTGTGCCAGTCACCTGGCTGTCATGCTGATCCTACAGCTTTAATACTGCGAATGAAGGATTTGGCAAAATGCAGAACAGCTTTTGATATTGTTCTCACTTCCCTGAATTGCATATCGGTCAGTGACTCAGTGTATAAAAATTAGATGGTTAGTATTAACTGCCAGGAAACTAGAATTTTTAGGAGGTGGTCAGTAATGGTAGCCACCATACCTTTCTTACCAGGGGTTTACTATAATGTGAACATGTACCTTTTCAGTGCAAAGCAACAGGTTCACTTTAATCTTTTTTCCCAGCAGCACACAGTTACCTTTCCTCACGTTGTAGCAGTGCTGGCGCTCGGTGTTTGGCCCAGCGAGTCCCATGATCCTCCAAATTGAAAATTATCAGGTTTTCCTTCAATGCTAACCGAAGCAACGAAGGATGATGGAAAGCAGGGAAGGATGATGGAAAGGTAAGTATATGTAGCTGGAGAAGGAAGGGGGGAAGCAAGCCTGTTGCTTTCCCATGCATGGGCAATGCACAGATTTGATTTAAAAATAAATTATGAAAAAGAGAATACACATTAATTATCTTACAGGAAAAAAAATTGGAAATTAGAAACTTACCTATGGTGCATGACATTCACTGAAGGTGCATGTGTGTTAAGTTATGGTAAATTCTGCACCTGCAGCAAATGTTTAGTGAATGTCACATTTACGGCTACATAAAATATGCCCCCAAGGGTTTATACTGAACATTTTTGGAAAGGCCTTAAAACACTAGCATCCTCCCTATTAGAAGTTACAGCGTCTTTCTATTCACGTGCGTGTGTCACCAGTAAGAGTGAAAAGCAGATGTTCATTTATCACTGAACCCTAGCAGACCCCACTTCTCAAGCTGACACAAATTAATAAATTTGCTGCACTGTGACAGGAGTCCATAATGAGACTGAGAGGCCCTCTACCAGATGCTTTAAAATGCATGAGTCAGTGTCATGGTAATTGTTGTGGAGTAATTACATTAAATGAACGATACTGGAAAAACTGTCAGGGAACAAAAAAAAGAGAAATCTAAAATGACTCGCTAGTCTAGACTTTCCTCAATCAATATACCAATGCAGCTGGCGTCAATTGTAGCAAGTCGTTAGTTGCTGTTAGATTCTCTAAGCAAGGATTATATTTATCAGAAAACAAATACAGGCCTTAGAGGCAATGCATCAGTCCTGATATATCAAGTGCCAGTGAAAAATGTGATACTCATAGCACTATTCACTCAGATTTGTACTGCATGTAATGCCTAGAAAATATGACCTGTGTTCTGTTCTAGTGTAAAGAGTCTAGCCCACCCACTTTCTGCTGCTGCCTGCACTGAAAGGGCAAAATCGGAACAGGTCAAAGAAAAGCATGCGCTTGTATGATAAAAGTGTACATAACTAAAACGTTTACGACTGCCGACATGACATTTCCTATGTGATTAGCAGAGAACTTTGGCCAAGATTTACCTTGAGGGAATTCAACTTAAATTTCTTGGGAAACTCCAACCTGTCTGACAGATAATGATAAGATCTTTCAGTCTGGTGTGCCTCCACCTAGAGATCATGATTGTCACCAGATACTACTAGAACTACTGTAGTAGGATATTCCCCTAGGGAGCAAATGCCTTGAGACCTGAACATGGACAAGATGGCACAATGATGATCACTAGAGATGAAAAATAGCCAGGTCAGAACTTAAAAGTAGATTTGTCTCAATGGTTTGGCCCATCATCCTGACAGTGGCGGTGGCTACAGCAGCTGGGTGGCAGGAGGTGAATTCATTTGTGGCAGGTTCCCCATGAAGGTAATAGCTGCCGGGTGTTGGTTTGGGCAATGGACGCCACTCTACCCAACATTGGCTGATAGTTTGATGTACTTGAGAGGGAATTTGCTTAAATGCAAGATGTATCATTAATACAACCATATTATGTTACATGGTTATTTATTGTAAAACTGGAGAATGGAATCATAATTGATGATACAATATACAAGTGGGGTTGTGGATGCTGTGAATATGTCACTATGATTTTATTGATGAATGTTTTTATTGTGATTAATGAATATATGTTTTTATGAGATACATGAGACTTGGATACTTTATAACACCTAAAACCCCACATACATTAACGGTTGTGTTGATTCTACTTTTAGGGGTGTGGTGTTCTATTTTTGTCTCTTTGGGGCCCATCTTTGCATAGTTTTTCCATTTTGTCTCAATGTTTGAAATACTGTTTAACCCAGATCTGTTTCTACAATGGGCTATGTACACCTTCTTACATAAGTATTATATTACAGTGTTGCAATACAGAGGCTACACAGTTATTTAGTTACAATATGACTATCTATAGAAGCAAAGAAAGAATCATAGGACTACAAGGCCAATGAACATTCCTATATTCACAGAGGAGCAAAAATTCTCCAAGGAATAATGGGACATTCACTTCCTGAACTGAAGTTTGTCTGTAAATGTTGCCATGCAAAAAAGTTCAGAAATATTGATGAAAATCATTACAAGGTAATAATTTGTTTATTGGCAATATCCAAATTATGCTTTCGGGCATAACGAGCCTCAACTTTCAAATTATCTTTAATAAGTAAGAACTGTGTTTTAGACCCCAGAGCCAACAGTCTGTTCTTTTTCACGGAAGTTCTTAATGCGAATGTTTGCTGTTAGGTACTGTAGGCAATTGTTTTTAAAGATTCAACAAATAATAAGACTTTACATGCGTAACTAATATCATTCTTACCATATGGGATGTTTGCAGGAAAAACATAAAAGGAATGGATAATGTTTTGAATATGATTGCAACAAAGATCTGCGCTTATGGAAAGTGGACTATCAGTAGTAAGCCTGAAGCTGCTATGACAAGTGGTGAAGGTGAAGTGTGGGTGTAGTCACAGCGCTAAAACTACACCCACACCTCAATGTTTTGAATATATTTTCTTTATTATGTTCAGGACTAGAAACTCAATGTTTTAATAGAATTTTTGTACTCACTGTAAGAGCCCTTTCACACAGGCTTTCTGATCAGATCTGCCTGTCAGTTTTTCCAAGTGGACCTGATGGAAAGCCCAAGGTTCGTCTATGGCCAATCGGATCTAAACGGATGGGCGTCCGTTTACATCCAGTTTTCCCCAAATCTGGCCAGATCTGGAAAAACAAGCAGATCAGATTTCTGTTTCACCTGATTTAATTGTGCTCGATCAGGGACAATAAGTCTATTTACATCTGATTCACCATAGACCAACATGAGTCCGGTAATTTTATTTTGCAAGATGGAGGAAAAAACTGGACAGGCAAAGATGTCACAATTGTTACATCCATTCCGAACAGCAGGGGATCTGTGCAATGTTCCTCTCCTGATTGGACCATGTAAAAGGGGAATAAAGCTCTTTTCTCTGAGTTCACTGAGGGACACATTTAGGAACCAGTAGTTTTATACTAGTGTCTTTGTCCTGCTGGTGGATTTAAACCATGAATGCAGCAATGTCTCTCAATGAATGATAAAGAAAACAGAATTTTTGCACATAACGTTTTTGCACCATAAAATGCTTTTGGAATTCATTGAGGGACACAGCTGCATCAAGAGGGATTTGCAGGACACTAAAATAAACATACTGGTTCCCAGATGAAACAGTGTCCCTCAATAAATGATATATACACTTTTTAGACAGATATGAAATAACGCACATTTTTATATTTATAATTCAAAATAGTAAATAGTGCCTTGGTTAATTTTCATATGAAGTGATACCTGCACTGTACAGATTTGTAGACCTTCAATTGGAGAGGGTCAACGCAAATAGCAGCTGCTGTATTCTGCAACGGCATGGTCATCAGAAAATGTAGTTATAGGGTCTCATACATGCCAGCTCTCCTCCAGTATAGCTACTGTAAGGTACTTGGAAGACCAAACATGCTCAATGACCGTTTTTTGTACTTTGCTGTTGTATTTGAGGTCAAAGGGATGCAGAACCTCACATGCATCTTTAGTGTATCAGTGACTAAAAAGGTGCAACTTCATCAACTAGACCAGTGGTTCTCAACCTGTGGGTCGGGACCCCCTCAGGGGTGGAATGACGATTTGCCAGGGGTCGCCTAGTCAGAAAAAAAAAAAAACCACCATAGGAATGCATAGCTAGATTCCTATTGGCTATTTCACTTTGCAAAAGCCAATAGCAAACTAGCTATTGCAACAGCCCTCTGATGCTGCCAATCAGCAGAGGGGGACCTTAAGTTCTCCACCAGGTCCCCTTCTAGTGATTGACAGCAGCAATATGTATTCAAGCAAAAAAAATATGTAAAACACACCTCTAGCTATGCATTCCATTTTCCCGGTCCGCAGCTGCAGAGATCGGTCAATGTCTCAGTGCCTGTGATTGACACTGCACACTGTCAGCTTCCTGGCGGGCTCGGCGCGTGGAGCTGCGAACACGCCCGAGCCCATCCCTATCAGTGACAGTACTGCGGAGTATGTACCTCATACGTTATATAGCCACACACTTTAAATCCAATTCTTCTAGTTCCAGCTGCAGAGCCCGGGCCTGTCTTTGCCTATAGCTGTGGTTCTCAACCTGTGGGTCGCTGTGCAAGGTGAGAGTCCTCCTCAGCTCTCTCCTAGCGCAGCAGTGTCAGTTCTCCTGCCACGCCTCCAGATGTCGCTGCAGCAGCCGCGTCATCCCTAAATTTTACCTTTGGGGGTCACCACAACTTGGCAAATGTTACTAAGGGGTCCCGGCCCTAGAAAGGTTGAGAACCACTGAACTAGACCATCATGGATTGGTACTATAATTACCACACTAGACATACAAGGGTTTATTTTAAACTGCACCATCAGGACTACCAAGACTTATCTCTATAAATATCCCGCCTTCATTTTTATGAGTTGGTACTATGATGTACCCCCTAGATGATCAAGGATAATAAAATCACTTTATTCTATAATATTATAATTCTATAATAATTCTGTGCTATAATTTACCCAGTTGACTACTATCCATTACATAGGTAAAGATTTGGAGTCTACTCTGTGTGCGCTTGCAAGTAGTATATTTACACATCGCTCCAGTAGCTGCATTTCTTAAGGCTGTGACACACTGCACGCAAAGCAGCGCAGAGCGGCGGCACGCTGCCTTCACGTGCAGTGTGTCATGTCATTTTTTTCTCCGGCACATCAGCTTGCATGAGCTCGCATAGCTGAGCGTGCCGAGATGAAAAATGTCATCTTCAGCCAATCGGCGTATAAACCAGCGTGTCACGATGCGAACTCCATCCGGTTGTAACGCGCGTGCCGATTGGCTGAATATGCAGTCATTCATCTGGTTTGCACTCAGCTCACACACTGCCTGCAAAGCTCCGTGCCTGACAGCTTTGCTCCGGTATGCACGGCTTTGCATGCAGGTGTCGCGGGCTTCCGTAGCATTGTGTTTATAGAAATTGCAGGTCACTGGGTATTTCAGACTGGTTAGTTATATCTTCACATTTGTCTTGCTACATTGTATCTGAAGTGTACACATTTAAAACCACACAAAATACACCCCTACCTTTTCTAGTTTTCCAGAAACAGGGATGAGTTTGGGTGGAGGACCCCTTATGTTTCCACTGACAGTCCTATCATCCCGTAGGTCATCCACATCACTGCATGGGCTGTTGGGTGCTCTGGCTTCCCGCCAATCCTCTTTTAAGTCATCGTTGACATAGGCATAGTTCCCGTTGCCGCCAGATGTGAACGCACAAGGTTTCTTTGTAGGAAGCCCAGTAAACAGTGTATCCTGGGAGTTGTAATTATTCTTCAATAGTCCTTCCTGCTGCTTAAAAAAGTTAGGCATGCTGGAAGGCTTGCGGCACTTGCTGCTAAATTCGGAGGCCTTGCACTGTTTGTCATGGTAAGGTCTTCCAGAGATTAGACTGCTCACGCTTCCCATAGTGCTATCGGACACTGGTGACCTGGAGATTGGTGGGCTTTGGGGGGCGCTGACCTCAGAGTTCTGATCAATGGACAGGGGAAGAGCCTGCACTGCAGCCATCTTGTAGGTTATAGCCGGTTTTAGCTCTACATAAGCGACCTGAAGAAAGAAAAACAAATACATATTACATTTAAGGAGAAGAAACTCAAAGAGTTTTCATGGTTTTGTTTTTTTCTTGGGAGTATGTTTGTTATGTACAGTACTAGATTTGTACATTTCATGAATTTATTTTATAGATTCAAAGCTGAACTTCTGGCACAAAAACTTACATTTAAATATGTTTCTCAATAGCCACAAAGGATATGAATCTACTTTCTGTACACCAGATGTCTTTGCAAACTCCGATATTAGCGGTGACATTTATCACTGTGCTGTACATAGCCTGTGCAGAGAGCAGAGCTCTGGGAGTGTCCCAGCAGACTCCACTAGAGCTGCAACAGTTAATCGATTTAGTCGATTAAAATCGACGATTGAAAACGTTGGCAACGTTTTCGATCGTCGATTCGTCGGCTATCGATTGATTTGCCTGTTCGGGGCTCTACATGCGGCCTGAGCCACACGTCACACGCTGCTCCCGTTGCGGCCGCCGTGCCCACGGCACAGGCCGCGTAAGCCGCTGCTCTCCTCGGCGCGATCTCCCTCACCCGTCGCTGGCCCGCTGACAATCGATGATTAATCTAACTTAATAAATCGGCCAACTAATCGATTATGAAAATAATCGTTAGCTGCAGCCCTAGACTCCACCCACTGCAGGCTGCCTGCAGAAAACTACAGGAGGGGGCGGATACAAGACCTGTCACCCTGCATAAGGTGAGAGAGCAGCAGTGACCGGTATTTATTACAGGAAGCTCCTGCAAAGAGGCAATGTTCCAAACTGGATTACTGCACAGATCCGGAAGAAACACACACAGCACACCAAGATATAACAATACACATGCCTGTTGTATTTAGACAATATTTACTAAACCCAGGGTTCAGTGCCAAAGAAATCAACATCCTTGCTGAACGAATGCTGTGCGGAAATCTGACAAAGACAAGTCATCCAGTACACTTACTGCATTCTACACAGACCTGAAAGGGTTTTGTTCAATGGCATGCCAGTAAGTTTTAGTAAAACCTTATTGTCTGAGTAACGTGTTGACTTTCACTGAATTAGGTAGGATCGTGTGCATCCATTTAACAAAGCTTCTGCCAGGTCATTGAACATGTTTATTTAATGAGCAACCAGGGCAACTGTCATATACACATTTACTTAAATGATCTTTTGAAAGAAACAAATTAGTTAAAAAAATAAGAGTAAAGTGTACAGTATGGCTGAGCAAAATGAAGAACAAAACTGTATTGACTACATCTGCGACACATGCACATTTACCCATGTTTTGACACACTAGAAAAAGATGGTAACCGCATAAATCTATAACCAGCCTTTGTAGGAGGGTGCACATGGGAAGGCTTACAACAATACAAAACACAAAAAGTCCCCAGCACACCAGTGCTTCCCTGCACCTTGTGAGGAGGAGTAGGCTACCTCCTGGTACACCTGCATTTAATTTATCGACTGCACTATTATGCTCCCACTTGGAGACTCATATAAATAAAGTTAGGACCACACTTTGCAGAGGAGCCTTGACGGGGCGGTGTGGCTTCTACACATTTTTGGCCAACGGTTTGTGCAACTAGAACCTCTGCTTTTACGCATACGGTTAGACAGGGTAATTTGTTTTGTTGCAGGCTAGCTGACAGGTGCGCTGGAGACTTTTTGTGTTTTGCATGTTTTGACACAAGTACACAAAAGCATCTGATGACCCTGCCCGAAATCCAGTGAGCTCCCAACTACCTGTAGTAAGCCGACAAAGATGTTGTCTCTGCTGCACAGAAATCCGAACCGGTGTTGTCAGCTCTGCCTAAGTCCAGCAGGGAAGAACTCAAGCAGGGATGACATCTCTGCTTGGGATTTCTGTGCAGCACTGGCAGCAATGTCAGCAAGTAAAGAGAAGGTAAGCACATTAAGGCTGCAGTGAGCTTAAGCTGGAATTCTACTTTTACAACTGTAGGAAATTGTGAATGACAGCAGGCTGAAAGGAAAAGGTCATTGTTAATACCATACATGGTTGGACATGATCTCCCCCATTCCTACATTCCACTGGATCTTAGTTCAGAGTTTTCTTTTTAATTCCCAGAACACTTATTAAAGTACTGACGTGAAATTAATGTATTTTAGGGCAGGATAGCAGTCTAACAAGCCTTAATTTAGGTTCCTTTTTTTGGAGAGTGAGAGCAATTACATTTTATCGAAAGATAAACACAGCATGGAATTTTATCTGGAAGAAGCTTTCTGTGCTAAAGTTACAAGGGAAAACATTTTGGTAATAGGGCTTTGGAAATGCCAAAGCTAAAACTTGCAGTTAAATTCACATCTAAGCGTGATTAAGTCAATGCCTTGTAGCATTTGTCATGTCTGACCATTTGATAACTGGATCATGGATTAGATCACAGGGTCACTGCCTTCCCTTATACCAACAGAGGCCAGGAAACGGACTATGATTACTGCAGGCTCAACAAAGTATACCATGACCTACCGCAAGGCTAGACCAGGCTAGATTTCTAGAAATCACTCAATACTCCCAACTACAATAAAGAGCAGGGATGACGCAATCTCTACCTGCCGGCTATTATATTTAGGCAGCCAGCGCTCACGGCTGTCTGAACACCCAAACAGACAGGTTCTGATTGGATGATTGCACGCAGATTGGTTGCAGTCACTGTTCAGGCGACAATTTTCCACCCAGCTACTTCAATTGTATAATTAAAGTTGTCGAGCTTGGTGGTGCCAAACGGACCATCTACAGCTCAACTTTATGATGATTCTCCAAGAATCGAGCTGTGTATGGCCAGTTTAAGAGAGACATTTGAAAGTTTGTTGAGCTTGGTAGTTCCAAAAGGACCATCTACAGCTAAAATTTATGATGATTCTGTAGGAATGGAGCCATGTATGGCCAGCTTAAGAGAGACATTTCTAACAAATATATTCCAGAGACCAGAAAGATCAGAGTCCTTCTTTAAACAGCTTTATGGTTCCCAACTATTTTTAGTGTCATCTTTCATATTAAAATCGCTAAGAAAACCGTCTTACAATAAGTAAAAGCTTCTGAAAAGCTACCAATAATTTTGCAGGAATCTTAACTGCAGCCTTCTATCCCAATAAATCTTTAAACCGAACAGGAAAAATCGGTTTTCCAGAAATATATCATTATTACAGCACTACACAGTCTCCAGCTGTGCCAAAATAAATGGAAATAACGGAACAGAAATCTATTTGGAGCAGAAAGATTTATTGAGTGTTACCGAGTTAGAGATACAGTAGAGAGCAAATTTGTATCATCTCAACAAAATATGAATTACACACAAAAACAAGTATAAGCGTTAGGGTTATGGTGAGAAGGGATCAAAAAGTGCTTCACCCAAACCAGTGCATAGAGCAGTAGAGCCTTATAGAACAGAAGCTATACACACACAAAACAAACTGAATTAAAAAAAAAGAAACTCTTTAAAAAGGAGAACTATGAGGTGAGTGAAAATCACTCATCCTCATAGTTCGAGCCAACGTGTGACAATGAAACTGTCACACGTCGGCTCAATAGATCGGGAAGTGAGCGAACACATACCGTCGCTTGCTCCCTTCTCGATCATCTCCTTGCAGAGTGCCGTGACTGTCAGTCACAGCTCTCTGCAGGGATTCCACCCCCCCCTCCCGATCCTCCAGCACTGACTGGAGGAACGGATGGGGGAGGGAGCGGGTACAGCTGGCTCTGCCCTCTAGATAGGCAGAGCCAGCTGTCACTCACACAGCTGGTTAGATCTCGACAGTAATGTCAGGATCCGTGCCGGCTGCGGCGGTCTCAGTATACTGTGAGCTGTAGCTCGCGATATACTGGGTTTTGGGTCACGGGAGGATGCTAGTATATGTCCTACCGTGACCCTTAAGAGAACTATGGGGAAAAAACACTTACCCCATAGTTCTCTTTAAGTACTATATGTATGTAAAAGAGACACATCAATTATAGTGTATCTAATGGCAAAACTGCTTTTTATGGAGTATGGAAGGGTTAGAACCTGTCAGTTTTTATTGCTGTTCAAGTCCCCTACTATGGAGGGTCACTTTCTCTATTTGTTCTGATGGCCATTGTCTCCAAGACTTAAACTGAGGGAAAATCCAACATTTTGCGTTGCCACTGAAACAGGAATAGAGGGGAAATCGTCCAATAGGGACACTTGTTCTGGTGACTACCATACCACCAAGTGGGGATTTTCCTTCCTTTGAAAAGATTTCCTCCCACATCCTGTTCTGGCTATGGGATAAGAAGTAAAAGTCTAATTCTGCACAATGGGACATAGGTGACAAAAAATTAACCTTGCATGATAGTTATCCAATGCAGGGAATGGTCTAGCAGCCAGACGTAGAAGAGGATCGCAGCCTCATCTCCCCCGGGCTCTGGCAATCTAAGGTCCCATGACATCATCGCGTCTATTCACTTGCACTGGACATGAGGATGCCGATGGACACAGCTGGAGCAGAGGGGAAGATAGGTGAGCGGTCACTGCCACAGGACTGATGATTGGGCGAGTATATATTTTTTATTTTAGACCCTAGACCAAAACCGGCTCTTGACCCTTGCAGTGTGGGGGAAGCTCCACTGTAAGGGCTCATTTTGTACATGCCCTTTAAATGTATTCTCATTTAATCCCTTATTGACCCACTAGTTAGCCTATAGTGATGCCTTCTTTACCTTCTCAACATTGCTAGTTCAGGTGCTGACCTAATGTTTTAACTAGCTGTTTTCAGATGCACTAGACTGATTGCTAAAACAGGTATTTGCACAGTTCTGTTTTATCGATTCTCATTGTTCATTTACAAGCATGGCACAAGATTCTGTGTGATTATTGCAAAACAGCCCATGCTAAATACCAATCTCAGCTCAGCTTTGCATACTTCAAATCGCCTTAACAGTCCTATGAATAGAAAACTCCAACATAAAATGAAAGACAAGCTTACTAAATCCAGGGCTGTACAAAATCAGGGGAGGATGCCATTGCTACGA